TGAATCACATCGGTTCACATATGAACCCGTTTGCCGCCTACTTGTAAAAATTATGAAACTACCTCTCTATCTTATGCATACCCATGTCCTTTTCTCTCTCAAGTCACTTTCTCCTTTCAAGACCCTTTCAAGCCTCCATCCTCTTCCATTATATAAAGGGCCTTGGCATTTCATCTTGAGGAGGGCTTTGAACCTTAAACTCCAACAATGTAGAAGCTTAAGACTTAACTTGTATTTCATTTTTTTAGTTTAGTTGTAATTTGTTTTTCAGTTCTGCTCACCACTGTGGCGATGTTGTGGCCACAGTGCTGAAATTTTATTTTAATGCAATTTAACTTTGAGTACTTATTTTCTTCTATTATATCTTTTTTTAAACATTAGCAAAACCCCCCTTTATGGTGTGGGTGTAACCCAAACCCAAGAGGTAAAATGTAACACTTTGGTGTTACCACTATCTGTTAACTTTTTGATTTGGTTATTCAAATTGAAGTGTTAACTCAACATTGACAAATCGATAATTTGTATATGTTAATATTTAATCTTTGACCCAGAGATGGGCAGATTTGAGATACAGCTCGAGTGATGGAAGGAGGTTTGAGAAAATCTTCAATAATCACACAGAGATATGGGTTGTTGCATAATCGTTACGAAGGTTCAAACGTCGGACGAGTGGGTGTGTCAGAGAGATATGTGCATCTCTCCATACTAAAGGCACTAAGATCTTCGAGATCTACTTAGTAAGGTTGGTAAACCGAAAGTTAATAGTTGTGGCCACTTTGTGGTGAGAACGTGGTCACCTTCCGCATGATGTAGCTTTAAGAGAAGGAAATCGTGTACGGTTATTTTGTGACTATTTTTGTCAACCATTTAAGTTACTATCATATTTTTGGGAAAAGCTTGCTCCCATACCCGCTTTTTAATAATTGTTATTAATTTATCTAGAAAATCTCCTAAAATATTTTCTTCTTCTCTAATTGAAATAGGTGTATTCTCGACTTAGTACTCGAACATTGAAGTCGAATCCCTATGGATACAATCTCGATGTTTTTATCACTTTATTACTTGAAACATATCATAGTAGTTGGTGTGCTTTTGCACCACTATTGTGCCACATTTGTGGTTTACACATTTGCTATCAAGTTTTTGGCGTCCCTGCAGGAGATTGACATATTCCAAAGTTTCTTGAGTCATAAATTGAGTTTTTCATTGGTTTTTCTTTCACAATTATGGAAGGATTTAGTTGGGATGCCCCTTATTATAATACTTTTGATTATCGTTCACAACAACATCCTAATTTTTAAAAAAATATTCAAGGTGATAGCACCTAGAGTTCACTTGCACCTCCCTACCAAGATGGAATGACACATATTTGAATACTTTTGACCAATCATGAGAAGGTATGTTGATTATTCATATGATTTTCAAGGGACAAATCCTTCGGGTGGATTCCAGTCCTTTTTCTCAACTACCCACCTGATAATTTTTTTTGAACAACCCGAGTAAGTCATCTCACTCTTTTGTAACTATTTCTTCAAGCTTAATTAAAAGTTCTATAACATTTGTGGAAAATTTTACATCCTCTTTCAATACCTTGACAATTACGATAGGACAATTAGTCAATGAGTTGAAACATCAAAGTCAAGGTCCCTTATCAAGTGACAATGAAAAACTAATATGTGTTGGTAAGGATAAGAGTGATGTTGAACAAAGTCAAGAGATTTTTAAGGCAAAATCTGAGGATACGATCAAGCCCTCTTTATTCCCCAAAAGTGAAGAGGTGCTTCAAGATGATTCTAAAAACCCTGATTTAATTATTTTTGTTCATGTTGTGCGGCCTTATTTTTGTGACCATAGTGCTCCCACGATAGTCACATATCGGACCGTAAGGAACTAGGGATAAATTATGATTAAACTTTGGAACTTTATAAATGACATAATTCATCTGTGTAAACACTTAGCTGATACACTCTTCTTTTGTTACCTTACCTAAGCCTTTTTATTTGAATGGTCCCTCGACAATGAGGACCTTGTATATCTTAAGTTTGGGGGAGGGAAACACGTGTTATAAAAAAATGCTTAGCCCTTCGAAAAATGGGAAGGAACCAAATGTGTCAACTATGTCACTATTTTCCGTCCACAATGAGAAAAGAAAATTATGAAATTGGGTTGAAGTTGTAGAAATAGTTGAGTTAACACACGGGAATTTTTTTTTGGGAAATACACATCAAGTTTGCAGAAGAATTTTTTTTATGTGTAGCTCGAAAAGACAAGTTTAGGAGACGATGAAAAATGTAAGAAGAGTGAGAAGTCATAAACACTAACCCGTGAAAGTCCTATGGATCTTAGTTATCATAAGACGGTGTATTATAGCTTAGGTTATGGAAATTAGATTGCAACAAAGAGAAAGAGTGGAAAGATTAGGAAATCTATGATACTTTTGGATCAAAAGGATTTGAGATGGAAAAATGAGAATGAAAAATTGAAAAAAAAAAAAAAAAAAAATCAATAATCCTATATGTGATACTTAGGGGCCATTTATCGAGCACTTACCCGGTAAGCGCTTACTGGTAAAATGTAACACTGTCGTTTACTTACCGGGTAAGATTCTAGTCCGCCAAAACAGTATCGTATGCGACAATTAATTCGGTAAGCGCTTATCGTCGTAAGAGTTGTCACCCTCACTTACCTGGTAAGACTCTTGGTCCTTCTCTCGCTCTTACCGGGTAAGATTTTTGGTTCTTACCATGTTCATCCGGTAAAGTAATGTGACTTTGTGTAACTTACCTGAGTAAGCGTTTGTTAAACGACCACTTAGTCTTTTTATATGTTTTGAGTCATGTTAGATTTTTTATTTTTGTTTTTAATTATTTGGAGACAAGTTACAAGTTAAATTTGTGGGTGTGATAACTCTAATTCTGAGTGTTATTTACACTTTGTTAGTGAGTCTTTTTATTCTCTTTTAGTGTGTGTTTTTCTTTTATATATTTGTGTTTCTCCTCTTTATTTATTTATTTATTTATTTTTATTTGGACTTGTTGAGGATAAAAGTATGTGTCGTTTTACCAGGTATGTGTCGTTTTTGGAGCGGGTATACCATTGTGGCCACAGTTTCACAGTTGCATCACCAAGAAATATTTTCTACAGATTTTTACTACCACATTGGTGAAATAGAGAGCTGAACTGGGCCAAGGTCAATCCTGAAACTTTCCTGAAAGAAAAGGAAAACAATACAAAAGAAATGAAGACAAAATAGATGAGACAAACTTGGGGTAAACTATAAGAGGTCCCTTTCTCTCTCAAGTCACTTTCTCCTCGCAAGTCTTTTTCAAGTTTCTCTCATTTTCCACTATATAAAGGCGTTTGACATTTCATTAAACTCCAGTAATGCAAAAGCTTAAGGCTTAGCTGATATTTCATTTTCTTAGTTTAGTTGTAATTTACTTTCAGTTCTGCTCACCACCATGGCGACGTTGTGGCCACGGTGCCGAATTTTATTTTAATGCAATTAAACTTTGAGTACTTCTTTTATTCTATTATGTCTTTTCTTTTAAGCATTAGCTAAACCCTCCTTTAGGTTGTGTAAGCCAAACCCAAGAGGTAAAATGTAACGTTTGTGTGTTACCACTTTTTCTTAACTTTTTGGTTTGGTTATTCAAGTTGAAGCTTTAACTCAACACAGACAAGCCGACCATTTGTATGTTTAGTATTTGATCTTTGACCAAAAAATGGACAGATTTGAAATACGACTTGAGTGATGCAAGGAGGTTTGAGAAAATTTCCAATAATCACATAGAGATATGGGTTGTTGCATAATTGTTTCTAAGGTTAAGATGTATGCCGAGTGGGTGTGTCATAGAGATATGTGTATCTCTCCATACTGGCATAATTAAGATCTTCAAGATCTACTTAGTAAGGTTGACAAACCGAAAGCTAGTAGTTGTGACCACTTTGTGGTGAAACCGTAGCCACGTTCCTCATGACGTAGCTTTGAGAGAACGAAATCATATGGTGTTATTTTGTGACCGGTTTTTTGTCAACTATTTAAGTTACTATCATACTCTTGGGAAAAGTTTGCACTCATACCCTCTTTTTATTATTTGTTATAAATTAATCTAGAAAATCTCTCAAAATATCTTCTTCTTCTCTAATTGAAATTGGTGTATTCTCGATTTAATACTTGAAACGTTGAAGTCTAATCCATGTGGATACGATCTCAGTATTTTTACCACTTTACTACTTAAAATCGATCATAGTAGTTGGTGTGCTTTTGCAACACTATTATGCCACATTTGTAGGTTTACACATTTGCTATCATGTATATTATTTATTTCAACTAAATCAGTAATTCATAATTTTCTATTTTACTAATTAGGATTAGAATCTAAAATTGTTTTTTTTTTATATTAGTACGTAATAGTTTGGATTTTAAGTCAAAAGACAATTACTCCATATGTTTTGAATATAACTCGCTATGTTTTGGTACATGTGACATTAAGTTTTTTTTTAATTAAATTGAATTTCTTTTGGTTTAGGTTATTAATTATTATATAATGTTGTGATTTTTTTAAATTAAATTAAATTGCTTTCGATTTTAGATTTATTTGAAATATGTGAGGTTTAAACGTGTTGTCTCACATATTTGATTTTAAATAGCTTACATAAACGAGAGAAAAAAAATCCTTGTTTCCCCGTCAAGGATCCTCGTTCTTCCGTTGGGATGGGATGCGATCATTTTCTCAACAAGGACGAGAACGGAACGGGATGAAGGTGAAGGATCAGGGACGAGGATTGAGATTCCCGCCCCATTCCTATGCCTATGACCAAATCTACAATTAACTCTATATATTAACTTACCAAGTTGTTTAACCGAATAACCGGTCGTTTTGGAAAAATATTTTCGCATAACTGGTCCGGATCAATCGATCCCAACGAGTCCCAAACCAATTCAGCTTAACAAAAAGAAAAGGGCTATATTCACACAAGAATTCAGCTATATTCACTCATTCTAGGCCACCCCTGTTTTCAGAAGACAAAACTATATCCTGAAAAACCTGCAACCGACCTTTTCTTCCGGAATATCCGCCATTAAAATCCGCCATTTCCTTCTGCCCAGGTGAAGAACACCAATAGTTTCCATCTTCATTTGGTTCTTGATCGACACTGTTCTCAAAACTCAAACATCTCTCCGCGATTTCATGATTTGTAGCGGTTCCTGGTTGAGTTTGATACCCATCCTGCACACATTCAATCTTTTCACTCCTTATGTTACAATCCTCATTTTCATCGCCATATTCTTCGTCGTTCTTCCAGCAATCTCTGCTCGATTCCAGCAAAATCTGTTCATTTTCATCATCATACTCTTCGTCTCCACTGTTCCAATTTGATTTAAGCAAAATCTGTTCATCTTCTTCCACCATATCCGCCCAGCTTTTCTTGCCGTTTCTTGCTTCTTTCGGTTCTTGTGAGGGTATGATTGACATTTCACGACCTGTGGATGGTAGTTTCACCTCAAGACTACAATTCCCCGATGGTTTTCTCTGAATAACTTCTGCAGCCTGCCCGAAATGCAATCTCCTAAAACACCCACCACCAGAATCTTGTCTTTCCCACTCTCTTCTTCTCGGCTGCGTGAATGGTGCCCTTGGCGTGCCACAAACTGGAGAAGGAGAAGCGTATGACTTCCTAAATCCTGGATCAGGATCGTTATGATTCCCTTTTTTTGCTAATTTGTCAACGGAATCCGTTTCTTTGTTTCTGCTAAGAAACGATGAGAAAGATATTTTCTTGCCAGTGTTACACCTTTTCTCTGTTTCTAATTCATTCATCACCTGGATCGCACGTTCGTAGGACTTGACATACGACTCATCTTCCATCTCTCTAGTTCGGTTTGAATCTTTAATGGTACTCATAAGAAACTTGGCTTCGGTCATCTTGTCCATATACATCAAACAAATAGCAAGATTACACCTCTTGTTCTTATCCGGTTCCAAAGAAAGAGCTTTTCTGTGTTGACAAAAGTTTTCAAGAAATCTTACATAAGGTTATAATACACTCAATCTGACTTTTTGAACCATTGTACTTCTGAAACTTCCAAGAACAACACTGTAGCAAGCAAAAACAAGCACTTTTGGAAGAATTATGCAAAACCCATTGTTGTGATTTGCATTTCTTTTGCCCAAAACTACTCGTTCTTCCAAAAGGTAAAGTCCTGTATTTTCTTGATGGAAAAACAATGGTTTCTTTACGAAGAGCCAAGTATGATGGTTCTAAATGTTGGTCGTTTTGTGAATAAGTCTCATACCTACCTATATATTTCTTCTGCTAATTTATAATCGTCTTGCTGCAAGTGAGCCCATGCCAAGTTCCCTAATAACCTGCTTATTATGGCAAGAGATCAACAATGAGTTTAGGAATAAACTTGCTAAAAATAGAAAGCAACTGTTATAGATCATTCTACCTTGAATACTCTTGTCCTGTTGTGATTTGAATCTTCTTCCCTTGTGATCTGGCAAGTTTTGTTCGATTCCCAAGACTGGGAGTAGATTCCTCGATATACTTCAGTTTTGCTTGAAGCAATTCTATCTGCTCCTGTATCCGTCCTGATCTCTGGTAACGAAGGCAAATTGTCAATTTATAAACAAAAACAACCGTAAACACCACAAAGAGGCAAACCCCTCATTACTAGTTGCTAAAAACTTGCCCTGTGGAAACCGTAAATGTATACAAATATTCTATCTGCTATCACATTTCGCTTTTCGTTGCAAACAAACCGTTGTTCCTAAGAAAATGCAAAAGGGAAAAACACTAAAATGCTAATTCTTGTGCATTTTTAGGACAAAAATGCTAATTCTTGATAATTATGCTAATTCTTGCTAATTATAGTAATTTTGGGCAAAAATGCTAATTCTTGCTAATTATAGTAATTTTGGGCATTTTCCTGAAGAATGATGGTTCATAAAATATAGTTGTTTGTAGAAAGAGAGAATTTACCTTGTATAGTTCAAGAAGAATGTTGTCAAGGGACTCTTGTGCATCGAGTGGGCATAGATGACGGAAAGATTTGATGGCTTCAATTGCCTCATCGGATCTATTCAGTTGTTTCATCACTACAGCCATGTCTTTCAGAGCACTATCAACTCGATCACCCGAATTTATGGCAGCCCAAAACATTGATACGGCTTTGCTTGGATTGTTGTCTACTAACTATGAAGAAAGAATACATACATGATCACACAAAAAAGCTTTAAGGAAATTAACAGAGTAGTACACATTCACTCAGTTGGGCGTTTTATCAAACAGATGATGTTCTTCAAAAATGTAATTTGTTTCCTCACACTATTTCTTAAGTTTAGAGAGTCTGTTAGTTATGATCATATTCAAACCTTTCAAAATTATCTTCCTCCGTTTCCATGGTATGATATCTCAAGTCAAATTGACTACAATTCAACTTGATTTTCTTGAAAATCTTGAAAACCATGTTGAACTTCTTACAAATATCTACAGAATAAAAAGGTTTGAACAAAATCTATTTCAATTTTTGAGTTATAGAAGCATGAGGGTTGTCCTAAAAATTCACTTGTAATTGTACATAACCAATAAAAAAACCCCAGAAAACTTTTAAAACTACAATGGAGAATCTAGAAGAAATGAAAGAATACCTGAACATGTTTGGCTCTGACGTAGGGAGAATCACCGGACGGGACTTTGTGGATGATATGAAAGAGGTTATTACTATTATTAGGTGGTGGCGGCGTCCATTTCTTCTCAGATGAGGGCAGCGGGCGTTGCCGAACGGGATACGGCGGTGAAGAATACATAGAAGAAGAGCTGCTCCGCCGCTTCTCCGGCTGAGGTGTGGAGAAGGGGAATCCTCTTGGATTTGAATTGGTGGAGTCTTTGTTCGTCCACATTGTCGATTTCAACTCATTAATCACTCAAATGCTTGGTGTATACCTTTTTTCTTGAAGGATTCTTGAAGAATATGAGGGAGGGAGGGAGGGAGGGAGGGTTTAGTGATCGGAACAAGTACGTTAACGGTAATATTTCTGGTTTCTATTCCGATAAACTTTTCAACACTTTTGGTATTAATAGATTCGTTATCTCTAAAATACAAAAAAGAAAATTAAAAAATTATTTTAATTTATTTGTTATTTTACATTATTATCTCATTTTAAATGATTAAGTTTTTGAGTTATTGTTTAAATAAAAAAATATTAAATTTTTTCATTTTAAATTATTAAGTCTTTGAATTATTTTTTTGAATGAAAAAACTATTAAATTTTCTCATTTTGAATTAATAAATCCCTAAACATTTTTTTGAATAAATAAACCATTAAATTTTTTAAAATTGATTACATATATTTATATAAGAAAAAAAATTATATGTAACTGACTAAGAATGTTTTAGAGTAAAAACAAGCCTAAATCAGTTTTACAGATGACCAAAACCTAAGCCATTAAAACCTCTCGCAAACAATGGTATCCCTCCCTCCCCCTTGTCACTCTCCATTGCCCCAACATTGTCCTTTCTCCATATCGTCTAACACGTTGTTGGCCATGTCATTAATCTTCCTATTATGGGTTGGGCCTTCTGCAAATAACCCCTGTAGATATATTTTTAATCTATCAAAAGAGGGAGAATTAAAAGATAACTGGTTATAAATAGTTTTTCGGAGGTTAAAATGATATAAGTAATCAAATTTTAAAAGTTCGATAGTCTAATTTATTGTGGAAAAAAATGTTTAGGGACTTGATTATTCAAAATATAGAATATGATGGAGTTGAATGTTATCTTTTTTTAAGATTTTAACTTTTAATTCTTTATTTTGGATAATCTTTTAGAAAATATGTTGGAAATACTTTTATACGACACATTTTTAGTAAACTAAAAGTATAAATACATTAAAAAAATATAAGTTGAAAAGCAAAAAAGGTACCATTAGAAAAAAACACTAGGATCTTTGTGAGCCCGTTTTCAGTTAGTACAAAAATCTCGAAATTTTTTAGGTTCAGGTCTGGTTTAGGATCTTAAGTAGGCCTTACCGAAGTTTTTTTAGGCCAGATTTTTCTAGGCCAAGCTTTTAACTCGACCTTGGAAAAATAAACATGTCTAACCGGGCTTTAAGATATGGGTTGGACTCGAATTTGGGCTTGTTAGGTCCAAGCTTTTTCAGGTTAGGCTCAAGAGAAGTTTCGGGTTTTGGCTTTTTATGCATCTCCAAATTATATTACAACTAATCTCTAACTCTTTATTCTTAAAAAAAATACCATTTATAATTACGAAAACATTTATACATACCATGAGATCTTGTAACTACCTCTGACATCCATTTGTGAAAACGACATGCATTCCTGTCATTCTTGGCCAATCATTCCTAATAACAAAGGTGACTCGCCAATGTACTGTTCTAAATGTGGTTTCCAACTTAACTATCATATGGTGTTTCGAATATTATTCACAAACACATGATCTAACACCATTTACAAAACTATTAATACATATAGAAATAAAACTGTTACTGAAACATATTTAATATGCCATTGACAGATATATATTTTGTCATAGCATATGCTCCCAAGTTTTTTTGGTTTTTTTACATATATAAGCATGCTTTCAATCAAGGACGGACCCAGGTGGTGCCAGTGTGGCACGTGCCACCATTTCTTTCCTCCATGGTAATGTACATTTGTTGTGTGTTGCCGTATGTCCCTATATTTGTTTCTTATAGTCAAATGGTGTCATTGGTTGGAAACAAAATCTGGATTTGTCCCTGCTTTCAATATTGCAAACACTTGTGGATGAAAACCAAATCTTTACCTCACCTTAGTTGTTAGGATTGAGGTGCTTTTGTTTTGCCTTCTTAAACCATTTAACATCATAACACGTTCGTATAATACATTCTTAAATCTTGTGGCCTATTAGTTAATTCTAACACTGTATCATGAAATAGAACAGTGTTTGTCTTAATATTTTTCAAGTATAATGATTATTTTTGCTTAAATCATGTATTCAACCAATTCAACCTAAAATTGGTCAAGTTATTCATAATTATTCAGTTAAGAATAAAAATTGTTTTTAATCGAACCATCTATTTTTATTTCTCTTTTGATATGGCACGTCTAACATACGCATTTCTCAGGACGTTAACGAGAGGAACTACATTGAGGTACGAAACATAAAAAAAATAGACCAGCAATATACTTGACAGATTGTAGGGATGAAAATCAAAAGGCAAATGGGCCGTAAACGAAGGACCGAAAATGTAATTCACTATTTATTTTATTTTTAAATATCACCTATGTAGGCATGGCAACGGGGCGGAGATGGGGCAGGTTTTGTAATCCCCGGCCCGGCCCCGGTTTGTAGTAATATTCCCAGCGGGTACAGGAATTATCATCCCGTTCCCGGTCAAATCTCTAGCAATCCCCGGTCAAATCTCTAGCAATCCCCGGTCAAAACCCGGAAAACCCCGGTCAATCCCCATAAATAGTATCATTTAGTTTGATTCTATTGGGGATCCCCGACCCCGGGACCCTTTTTAGCGGAGAATCCCCGTCCCCGTTCGAGTCGGGTGAACCGAGTTCCCCAACGGGTCGGAGCACTTTAAGATACATGACATTCATCCCCTTTATCTATTGAATATGCTCAAACTACACATTAACCCCATGAGTTGACAAAAATTTTCATTTTAGTCCATGCTTAAGTTGCAATTCTTATGTAAATAAATATATTTGTGTATCCTTGCTACATTTTATTTTGGATGCAACAAATTCTCTCCAATTACAAAACCTTCACCCTTTGGAATTCATGTTCAACTAAATAACTGAGGATAGTTCATCTTTTTTGGTTAATCATGTGTATTCAGGTTAGTTTGCAAGCTTCTGTATATCTGGATTAATCTCAGGTACACTGAAAAAATAGATATATATATACAGTTACAAACTTAATAAAATCAACAAGAACATGATCTAATACAGACTTAAACTTAATTAACAAACCAACACAAATAAAGTTACTAGAAAATCCAAAGTTCAAATCCAATGAGGAATAAAAATCCTCTTATGGTCACGGAGGTTCAAATGTGGTGACTCCGAGCTATCTGCAAAACAGGTGGTCGTCCTGGAATTACTCGGCTCGCATAACGAATTGAATATCCAGGTTAATAAAAAAATGGTTGATCATATTTAATTTTACCTGGTGCGAAGTCTATATTTTAAATTGTATAAGAATATAAAGATAATAATGCATACAAAATAATAAAATAATACTTTAAACATTAATCTTTTTATAAAATAATGAAAAACAGCCTTAAAATATTTTTAACAAACAAAAATATAAAAATGATTATTTTTATTAAATTATTTTATAAATTGAAATATAAAAAATATTATAATATTAATTAATACATTAATATTTTGGTGTTAAATTAAATTATAATATATAATATTGGATTGAAATCTTTTTAATTTATAAGAATTGTTTGGCAATTGGCACAAAATTTATAATTTATTTTTGTTTATTTACTAAAAATATTTGGTCCAGCCCATGGTATTAAGCCTGTTATCAAAATGGGCCTTAGTTTCCATTTTCAAGTAAAAATAAATATAGCATAAGTTAAAAATAACCAAAATTAATAATTTGTTGTAGGATAAAGGATTGTTCACCAAACGTTTACTAGATAAGTATTTACTGATAAAAATCATCACTCTTAGAGTAACTTATGGGGTAAATTTTTCGGCCATAAAAATGGACAATGGTAAGGGTTTTTTTTTATTAACCTGGATATCCAACCCGCTATGCGAGCCGACTAATCCCAGGGCGACCACCTGCTTTGCAGATTGCCCATAGTCACCACATTTGAATCTTTGTGGCCACAAGGGGATTTTTATTCCTCCTTAGATTTAAACCTGAGACCTCCTGGTACATTTGACCTTTGGAGCCAAGCTTAAACCAATCAGGCACCACCCTTATGGTTGATAATGGTAAGGGTTTATAACTCGGTAAACACTTAATATGTACGAGTTATCACTCTCACTTACTGGGCAAGACTCTTGATCGTTGTCTTCTCTCTTTCGTTCCTTGTTATGTTTACCCGATAAGGTAGTTGAACCGATAAGCACTTATCAAGGTAAGTGTTTAGTAAACGATTACTAAGTGTGTTATTGTTTAAAGGATATGACGATGTATATAGAGATAGACATATTAGAGATAGATTAGAACTGATATCTCTCGTAATTATATACTTGTAACTCGTCATTAATCTAGTTTTGCAATTCATGTTAGCATCCTAATATAGGTTTTATATAATTAAGTGGATGTAAATTCAACATAAAATGAATTGACATCCCAACAAATCTTCAAACAATCCCATTTTGAGAATTTGAGGATTATGTCAAAGATGCCAAGATGGTCAACGACTCACCCACCATTCTACCAATGTCCTTAATTATTCTTTCATCACTAAAAAGTATTGATCATATAAATTATAAAAAAATAGCTAACATTTTAACAAGAAGGTACGGGGCCGTTTACTAAACACTTACCCGGTAAGTGTTTAACGGTAAAATTTAACACTATTATTTACTTACCAGGTAAGATTTTAGTCCACCAAAACGACAACGTATGCAACAATTTACCCGGTAAGCGCTTACTGTGGTAAGAGTCGTCGCCCTCACTTACCTAGTAAGACTCAGGGTCCTTGTCTCACTCTTACCGGGTAAGATTCTTGGCTCTTACCATATTCACCTGATGAGGTAATGTGACTTGGTAAGCACTTACACAAATAAGTGTTTGGTAAACGGCCGAGGCCTTAATACACTAATAAACATGAGGTTTAGTGTACGAGTCGCGTTGATACCATCACCTTTTGTTGTAGGTTATGTATAGGATTTTATATGATTCAAGTATCTA